TTAATTTGTGAATTTAGATACATTTACACTAATGATTTTATATACACCAATGACTTATATAATTAAAATAAGAATAGCATGTGCAAGATTATAATGATAATGTAAATTAAAAAATGAATTTTCATGTACCATTAAAAAAACTGAGTCTACAATCATCTGAAAGCTTAAAAAAAGTTAAGACTGAAGATACCAAGTCATTTATCCCAGAGCAAGGAGCAATATAACTGTATAAGCCAGTCATCAACTCAAATGAGGATCTTTGTGCAAGAGAAGAAAGAAATAAGCAAGTTCAAAGTTGTGCATTTAAGCTGTCTTGCAGAAAGTAAGGCAATTAAACCTGGATTAGGGTTTGGAGGGAAAAAGAATTCCATGGTCTTCATTTCTCTCAACAAATGTATAGCTTCCTGATCCTAACATTGCAGGGTATCACACTAATAACACAATTTTAATAAGCACGATTTGGAGGAAAGGGTAAAATCAAAACATTTAAAATAATCAAGTTGTACCACTCATAATTCATTCGTAGAAATGACTCGCCGAACATATAAATGTTCAGGGCAATTCTTTTGTTGCGTTCTATGTAGCAAATATGTCCCATTCATTCCTTATCTTTATGCCTTTTCTTGAAAGGCCTTCTGTCAGGTTTTGAGTCAACTGAGTGTCTTCCTCCATCTTTGGTTAATTGCTGCAGAATAAAAGGAATTAGTTCAGCTTCCTGGGGTCTTGAAGCCGTAAAACACATTGCAGTAGGAAAGTGAAGGATTTTTTTTATTTAACCTTCTTTCTTCTCTTTGAATTTTTCCTTTGCCGACGTGACCCTTTGTTTTTATCCTTTTGTTCATCCTTGCAGAAATTATCAAAGTGAAGTTAGTGTGCCAGTAAAATGATCGGGCAATAATTCAAACGCTCATTTTTAAGGGGCTCCTCAAATTTTTGATAGACCAACCTGTGAAGAAGGTATAACGGGAGCATGTCTCCTTTCCGGAGTCTCCTGGTGCTCAATCTCCCCATCACTATTGAGCATGCTTTTCAGTCTACCTTCTTTGAGTAATTTCTTGGATCGAGCATGCTTCTGGCATGATGAAAGAAAAAAAGATCATTCAGCCGCAAACTGGTGCACTGGGCAGGCAATTCATACACTAAATAAAGCTAATGAAATCATCTTGTTTTTATGGAGCACAATTGAGTGAAAAGCAGATGATAACCCAAATAACTCCATAGTTCATGCAATACTACTACCTATCCAAGGATGAATAACAAGTTTGAGATCTGCACCAGATAGAAACCACAGTAGGAACATCAAATTTGACATTATCTGACATAAATTGGTCCTAAAATTAGCACATAAAAGTTCCACTTACATTTGGAGGAATATAGAATCTCCCTCTTTCCAAATTTAACAGTTATGTAATATAACTGTTAAGCAGAGTCTATACATAAACAAAAATAAAAGAAATGGCCTAACAGGTTCTACTTATTCAGTTTTCCAGAACCATCTTTGAAGCCACGTGAGGGAGAAAAAGGCACGGAGAGTACAAGGCATTAATCCGAAAAGGAATCAAGCCTCATAGCTCCATAACATGCAGCATTCAGAAGAGCAACAAGAAAACAAAATGATAAGAAACCTCAGAAACATGAAATGATGACTTGGTAAGCAAACACTGCCATCAGCTCCTCATTATAATTCTTAAGATCACGCAGAGTGCTATGTATTAGAAATAAAGTTATTTTAGTATTTAACTATGATTTGCACGTAAGAAGATAGGTCAAAAACATATAAGCAGAATTAACTGCTGGATATCCCCTAAAACTGAGACACAAGAATATTGAAAAGGTACAGGTGTAATAAGGTCGAGACAGAAACCATTCAGAAACCATCCCTTCTTCCTTCAAGGAATCTTCTCTATGAAATTCTGTCACATGAGAGGAATATGATGGACAGAGCCATACCTCAGGCATGTGCCAGATTGAATCAACATGTATAAGTTCCTGCCTACCCTGAAGTAGATAGGCAGAAGGAACAAGATGTACACACTAACCAGAACCACAAATGGATTCTATGCAATTATACCAAATTAGATTAACAAATACATGATTTACAAAAATGAGTTACTCTAGTGCATCAATTTCTCATCAAATGCTTCAAGGCAATCAACATTTGGACAAGATAAGTTATCCCGGATCCTTCAAGTGCACATGAGATCTTTTATCTTCTTGCTTCCTCTCTCTACAAGGGGAAAAATGTGAATGAAACTGACATTATGTGCATGCTCTTTCCTAGCAGTGAAATTCTCCAAACAAGACATGAAAAAAATTCTTTGCAGTACCATCTTTATATGATGTCATGATGCATGAAAAATCTAAAATGAATAAGAAATTAAGTATATAACATGCAAATAAAACAAATTATTTTCCTATAAGTTAAAGCAATAACACAAATAAATAATTTTTTTAATAATTTAAACCATAGGTTATGCAAAATCTTGAATAAATAATTGTCAATGTTCATTTCATCATAAGGAGAAACAACTCCAGCAAATTCTCTTACCTTTGAATTAACATGCGCCCTCATTGTCTCCTCATTTAGGCAAACAATCCGCGGGCATATCTGGCACTTAAACACTGATTTGCATTTTATCATACATGCTGGAATATTATCTGATATTGGTTCCTTTTCAGATGTGGTATAATATTTTGCCTCCAGTAGTTTGGAACTGCGTCCATAAGGTAATTGATTTTCATTTGCCCTGTCACGTCCAGTTGCAGCAGCATCTTCATTTATAAAATCTGCCATTCTACCACAATGTGACTATCCAAAAAGATTCAACTCAACTGGACAAAACCTTAAAGGAAACAAGCTAGGGGTTAGCTACATTTTCATCCAGCTTGCCTGGTTGAAAACTAGACACTTGGTTAAATTTTAAGAAATATGATATTGACTCCTTTATCTGATCTCAAACAAGTTTAGCCCTACCCTAACTCCAATTCTGCCTCCCACAAGATCAAATTATTGTTCATGCTAGTAGTCTCTCCGTAAGATTAGATAACATCATACCTTGACAAATGATTCAGCAGATCATCTCTGTATATACGGCTAAAGTTTCAACTAGAAGTCAGTGCTATTACATGACACTCACAAAGCTGTTTGTAGAACAAGATAATGCATCAAATGTTGTCAACAAAACGGATATTTTCAGAGTTATGAGTCTTATGGAACTCCATATATCATGCAAAAATGTAGGGATAACTTTTATCATTCAAACAATACATAAAAAGCGAGAGAATGTGATGCATTTTTCCAGATTTCATATTGTAAAGCATATCCAACCTGGTAAGTCAACATTAGCCTCATTTCCTGAGCTATCTTCACTCTCATATCCTGAAACATACATATAATTAAGAGAAAGAAAGATGCACATTAGAAGACCATGATAAAGTCCTCAATTTACCATATTATTCCTAAATAGTAGAAAAACTTTCATAAACCAGACAACTTTGTAAAACAAAAAGTGCATAATGCAAATAGAATTCTTTAACAGGGAAAAGAGTATGCAAATATGGGACAAATTTTGTTGCTTTTATAAGAAAAATAATAACACGTAACAATCTACTAACTTACCCAAAGACATGAAGATGATAGCATAATACTCAGTTTCACTAAAATAGAAACCTCTGTATGCTAAGATAACTAAAAGAGTTGAAAGTAGATCTTGAGGATAGAATTAATTTTCTCCTAGATATGAATCACAAATTTACTTTTTGTGGTGATGAAGCAAGTTTATTCCCCCAGAATGACGTTGTATTCAGGTTTCCTTTGAAATTAATTTGAAGAGTAAAGCTTCCCTCCATATGGTTTTCCTCATTTGACAATAAATTTTGGGAAGAATCTTCGTTATTGACATCTAGAGAGGGAGGAGAAGAATCCTTGTTATGGCTTCCCAATGTGTTTGAAGGAGAACAAATCTCCCAAGCATCTCCCCATTTTTCTGTATGGATGGTAGAAGGTTGAGACCTTCATCTCTCAGTATTAGTACCGGGCTAGTTCTAGTGCCTTGAGACCATAGGACTGTTTCAAAGTTGGCAATGCTAAGACGAACCTTCTCTCCTGTATTCTATTGGTTATTTTCTGGTCATATGAGAAAGGAAGAAATAGAAAACCTTACAAATACTTTCTCTATTGGCGACTTGTAAATGCCTTTGTGCCTCGTCTACGGCCTTCTATCATATTACATTGAAATCATTTTAAGCATATAAACATAAAAATAGAAGGCACAATTAATCTAAAAACAGCTGCAACCTTGCCTTTCAGATCACTGCATTAGAAATAAACAAAGAAATAAAATTGGCTGGCACAAACCAGATGAGGTAGAGCAGGATCCACGATTTTTTTTCAGTTCAATAGCAGAATCATCCTCTGTTTCTTCGTCTTCTGATTCTTCCGCGACAGCATCATTGTCTGGTTCTTCTTCCGAGGTTTCAACTTCAAGTTCAGAATCAGAGGAGAAGGAAGATGAATCCGTGGCATTATCTCTGTCACCATGTTCAACCCTGTAGAATCGTCTCTTTATCATTTTTGGTCCTCTCAATCAACTACAAGAGAGAAAAAAATAGTTGGAAACAGAAAGAAAATACGTGAAGAAAACATCTATTTTGCCATTTTACTATTTTAGAAGTGTTACTATTATGCAGTCATCCAATATGCAATTTTAAAGTGATAAATTATTATATGCATCCCTTAACACTCTATTTCAGGCTGGCTACAATCACCATGCCAGTATACAATAACTACTTCACAGTGGATTCCCACAAAATTTATAGAACTTATTTTCTCTCAACATATCTCTTTTGATAAATCTGTTTTGGCATCCCTGTAGTAACATAAAAGACCTAACTTACTAATTAACTGGAATTAAACATAGTACTTTGATGTCTCTATAATATTCTAGTCTAATATCTAACTTTCATCTTCTATTAGGAAAAAAAGGGGAAAAAAAACATGGAGACAACCCAACTTACCTTGCTTTTGGCTCAATTTCTATTCAATTCTTAGTTCTAATTCCTCATATTAGTAAGATTAATATCAGAACCAGAGCTGAAAATTTTACTAGATAAATTAACCAAACGCAACCTTTCTCGATATCAAAAGCAGAAAATTTTGATTTCAATGCCAATCCATGAGAGCAAAAAGCCACATGAATACGTTCAAAGAAAAAAAAAGAAACTAGCAAATACCAAACACAGACAGAACATGAAAAAATTCTACTGGCCTAATAATGAAAAATTTTGAAGAGAAGAGAAACAAAGTTCTTGCAGTGTATAATACCAATTGATAAAGATTAAAACCGATAAAAGCTCTTCGTTTTCGTACTAACACAGAGAAACAGAGAGCAGAGCCGACGATCTCCTACTCGGAACGAGAAAGAAAGGGTTTGTCCTTGGGCCTTCTCTCTGCGTATGTAATTTAGGGCTTGTCCACGTAAAAATAATATTTGACGGACGTTAAACACGACATAGATAGAGATAAAAATATATTTATTTTTAAAAAATTATATTAAAATTTTAATTTATTAAAAATATAATTATTTCGATTAATATTATTTTTTAATCATAAAATATTTTTTAAAATTATATTAACTTGATTACATTAATCTTAATAAACTAAATTAATAAAAATTAATTGGGATTACTTAAAAGTCGTTAGTAGCGCGTGTGAAAAGTCAAGAAATTGTAACGCAAATTTGATTCGTCCGTCTCCACCAACTCAGCGCCCGCCACGTCCCCACAGGGGGTAAAGCTGTCATTTCACAGCAGCACCTTCGTATCCCCGTATTCAGCAACTGAATCTTTCCTGATTATTTATTTAATTTTGTTGATGAAAACATTTCCCGATATACTCTGAGAAATTACGTATCGACTCTAGTAAACTATTTTAAGATCTTCAATTTGATTATTATCATGGCGGATTCGGCTTCTAGAAATGTAATCGATGGGAACGTCCTCGCGGCCAAGGCTCTCGCTCGCTTCGGGGTGACTCACATGTTTGGAGTCGTTGGAATCCCCGTCACTTCTCTGGCTAACCGCGCCGTGGCGCTTGGAATTCGGTTCATCGCATTTCACAACGAGCAATCAGCGGGCTATGCCGCCTCTGCTTATGGTTACCTCACTGGACTCCCTGGTATCCTCCTTACGGTGTCCGGACCGGGATGCGTTCACGGACTTGCGGGGCTTTCGAACGCTATGGTGAATACCTGGCCTATGGTCATGATCTCAGGTTCATCCGACCAGAAGGACGCCGGACGCGGCGACTTTCAAGAGCTCGATCAAATTGAGGCCGTGAAACCTTTCTCCAAGTTTTCCGCGAAAGCGAAGGACGTAAGGGAAGTTCCTGATTGTGTAGCTCAGGTTCTTACTCGGGCCGTCTCGGGTAGACCTGGCGGGTGTTATCTAGATCTACCTACTGATGTCTTGCACCAAACGATATCGGAATCCGATGCGGAGATTCTGTTAACCGAAGCTGAGAAATATAGGAAAACGGACTCGATTGTTAGTGTAGGGAGCTCCGAGATTGAGAAAGCGGTTTCATTGCTCAGAACAGCAGAGAAGCCGTTGATAGTGTGTGGGAAAGGCGCAGCTTACGCGCGAGCCGAAGGTGAATTGAGGAAGTTGGTGGAGAGTACGGGGATCCCTTTTTTGCCTACTCCAATGGGTAAAGGTCTGTTGTCTGATACTCATGAGCTTGCTGCAAGTGCAGCTAGGTCGCTTGCTATTGGCAAATGTGATGTTGCGTTGGTAGTCGGTGCTAGATTGAATTGGTTGTTACACTTTGGCGAGACACCGAAATGGTCGAAGGATGTGAAGTTTATTCTCGTGGATGTGAGCGAGGAAGAGATTCAGTTAAGGAAACCTCATCTGGGTATCGTTGGAGATGCGAAAAGGGTTCTCGAGATGATCAATAAGGAAATTAAGGATGATCCTTTTTGTTTGGGGAAGTCTCATCCCTGGGTCGAGGCCATTTCGAGCAAAGTGAAGGACAATGTGTCAAGAATGGAGGCTCAGTTGGCGAAGGATGTGGTGCCTTTTAATTTCTTGACGCCGATGAGAATCATAAGGGACGCGATTTTGGGGTTGGGGAGTCCTGCTCCGGTAGTGGTTTCTGAGGGGGCGAATACTATGGATGTTGGTAGAGCGGTTTTGGTTCAGACAGAGCCGAGGACAAGGCTGGATGCAGGGACTTGGGGAACGATGGGGGTTGGTTTGGGTTATTGCATTGCTGCTGCAGTGGCTTCACCTGAGCGGCTTGTGGTTGCTGTTGAAGGAGATTCTGGATTTGGGTTCAGTGCCATGGAAGTTGAGGTAGCTTCTTCACTTTCTTTGTAAATTACACTTCCATAAATTTTCATCTTTGATAACTATCTACTGCCATCATTGTTGCTGCTTTGTGCGTCAATTTGTTTATTAACATAATCTGATTGTTTAAAGATGTTGACGGGTCCTTACAATTTTATTATTGGACTGACGAGGTTTTGTTTGTACTGTTACCTTGTAGTACTTTCTTGTGAATCATGTAGGATCCTATTTGCCTTTTGTTTCTACAAGTGTAATCTACACTTCATGATGTGAAACTGAAATGTTTATACTTGTTTTATAACCAATTCGTTCGTTAAAATTAACGTGAAAGTTAAGTTAATAGTATTGATGTAAGATTATATAGTCCCTGCTTATTTGAAAACGGATGGTAAAAGTATAGCATGAGTTCAAATATAACTTTTTGTTTCTTCTCAAACTGATGTCATGTTCTTATTGTCATTTTCCAAGTCTCATTTTATTTTCAGTCATTTGCTGAAATATGCATTTAGAAACTAAAAACTCTAAATAAATTTCTACAATTGAACGGGGTCTTACTCTTTTTCATTTTCATGATCTTATTCAATAAATAATTTTCTGGTAAGTGCCTCTCAGAAACAAAATTCTGGTGAGTATGAAGACCCAGAATTTTGGCTGCCTATTAGGTTAAGGAGCACAGGCTTTACAAAGATATTTCTTTGTGTATTTTACATAAAAATTGACTGGCTGTTTTTTATTGGTTTTACCTCATTTGTTCTGGCTTTTTTTGGTTTTCATTTTATTTTGTTTTGAAGACAGCTTGTCCTCCCCTGTTGTGCTTTTCCTTTTGCCTTTTTCCGATAACACTTCCTTTCTATAAAAATTCTTGTATAAATGTTTTCTCCTATGATATGTTTAGAACTTAAGCTTTGAAATTTTAAGTGTTATAATGAGTAGGAATAGACGAGGATGAGCATTTTATCTCTTCTCCCAAAATGGGGAGTAGATAATGTAAACTGACATATGCATCAATACCTCAGATGAATGTTCTCATCTCAGATCAAGCTGCTCGGTTCTGTCTTCTTCTTTCTTTTTGTGATTTTTTCTGAATGTTCTTAGTAATTCCCTTATTTGTTTACCCTGTAACTGGAGAAATTATTGCAATTCGGTAATCTGCCTTCTTTTCTCATCCTACAGTCATTGGTTCGGTATCAGTTGCCTGTGGTTGTAATAGTTTTTAATAATGGTGGTGTATATGGTGGTGATCGGAGGAATCCTGAAGAAGTTACAGGACCTCATAAAGATGATCCAGCTCCCACTTCCTTTGTTCCTGGTGCGGCATATCATACTCTTATTGAGGCTTTTGGAGGAAAAGGTTATCTTGTTGGAACACCGGATGAACTCAAGTCTGCTCTTGCTGAATCTTTTTCTGCGCGAAAACCAGCTGTTATAAATGTTATTATTGATCCTTTTGCTGGTGCTGAGAGTGGGAGGATGCAACACAAGAATTGAGGTAGGTTTCTGCATTTCTTTGTATCTGCTGCTAGCCTGCTGCAGGAGCTGGTGTTGCACCATGCCCTTCAATAATGTTAAGTTTCCAAATTTCAACTGCTGTTTAGAATCACACGCATCATGTTCAATTACAGAATGATGTGCGTAGATGCAAAGAGAGTTTCCCACAAACAAAAACTCCATCTAATATGATGGACCAAGTGAATATATAGATGTTGGCTATTCTAATTTGCTGTGCGTAAATTTAAGTACTTTAAACTGCTGTTTCAAAAGTTCTTCTGGTAATTAATAGTGCTTTCTTGCGGTTAACATTTTCCCTTGAAGCCAATATTATAATCTTAGAGTTCATAGATAATAACATGCTTTCTTGATTAATATGAATAAGGAATTCTATTTCCACCTATAACTTGATTGGAAGTCTTATTGGATATCTGAGTCACTGAATACTGAAAGGAAAGTCAGAAGAAAAAGAGTTCTCAAAGAAATTTTTATGGTTAAAGCCCCTCTTATTATTGTTGTCACAGAACAAAGAGACAGTAAACTGTAGTATTCAATCTGAAAAGTGTTGTTTATCCTTCTGGATTGATCTGGCTCTTAAGTTTGGGTGTTGTTTATTCAATCTGAAAAGTGTTCTCAGAGAACAACTAGGGTGTTGTTTATCCTTCTGGATTGATCTGTTCTCTTTTAGTTCTTTTGTCCTTTCCTGTTGATAGAGAACCAGTATTTACAACAAGTCTAAAACCTTCCACAAATGTAAGGTTAATATCTCCTTAGTCCTTAGTTCTCAATTACTGCAGGTTTATTCAGATTCAATCGCTTAATCATTTGATAGGCAACTGGATTAGGTCCATTGTTTTTGGCTGAAAAGCAACTGTATTGAACCAACAATGTATTGAAATATACCTAAGTGTTCTGTGCATGCTTTGATTTCGTTCCATAATTATTCTTTATCTTGGTACGAGGAGAAAAACGAAATACAAGTTGCAGTGCAGAAGAAACTGAAAACCAGAGTAAGTATCAAAAGCAAGTATCAAAGTATTTGATATTCAACTAAATATGGTTTCTGACATTCTCGGTTGTGTTGGTTCAACTGCTCTTTTGGGTTTTACAGTAGGTGTGGCAATTCGTAGATGAAAAAAATACCTGGGGATATCATATATGAAGAAAAAGCTGGAGAAGAGAGATTTAAAGAACCTTTAAGCCAAAAAAGGCTAAGATGGCTAATTGGAGGAAATTTTCTCTATTTTATGTGGAATATCTGTGATAAATAACCTCTTGGCTTGTAGCGGATTTTGTGTTCCCCGGAAATGTGATTGAGGAAATAGAAATGATTGTCAGGAGCATGTAGTGGGGTGTTAAGGAAGACCATTGCATGGTTTTACACTGGTGGGATGGGAGACTATCTGTAGACCAAAAGGCTGATGGTGGACCGGGGATTAGGAAATTAGAGCAATAACTTAGCTGGTCTCAAAGCTGGCATTGTAAATCCAAACTGACCATGATAGGTTCTGGATGGAATTGGTGAATGCAAAGTATATGAAGGGATTGAGTATTGAACAAATTACCCTAAAGAGAGGGGACTCTCCTCTTTGGAAAGGAATCCTTGAGTTAAGAAAAATACTAAGAGAGGATTGCTATAGGCTTATTGGAGACAGGAAGTACACTAGCATGTAGTGTGGTCCATGGATCCCCACCTTAAAAGGCTTTATACCTAGCTGCCCGATTGTTCCAAGATGTGAACCAAGTGATGACCATAGGAGAAAATCAAGGAACGCCCAGTTGCCTAATGCTATATTCCCCAAGGAAGTGATGGAAGAGATTTGTAAGATAAAATTATCACAGGTGAGGATGGAAGATGCTTTGATATCGAATCTGCTTATGATCTCTAGTGTAGAATGAGGAAACCTCCTTCGGAACGTGCAAGCTCAAAGCCACCAGCTCAATGTCTGGAAAGAAATATGGAGAGCTCCGGTGGAAGATCCTTCACAAGGCATTATTACTAGGTATGTCCTCTAATACCTCTAACAATAGGAGGGCACAGAGTGTTTGCCAAACTGGGACTAACTCCTACGACGACTACCCATTTCCAAATTGTCATTTAACAAGAATTCTATGGCTTGGAATCCAATGGGGCCATTATCTTTAAGTTATTATTTTTATCATAAGTTATTTATTTACTATATATAAAATATTATATTATGATTAGTCTGTATATATTATTTAATAAAAAATTTATAAATTCTTATTAAAACATTATAGAAATTTAATAAAATTGAATGCAGATATTTTTAATCAAGTGTAAATTCTATCTTGAATATTAATAGTAACAGCAAATGGTGTGGTATATTCTAAGAGTTGACACCATAGGATAAAGTATATCATATATGCACATGTAAATGTGATGCTATACCCATTTATATAGATTTTTTCATGCACATTAACTCATCATATGTATATATATATATATACACACACATACACATGCAGACACACATGTACATGCGAATCATGCAGTGGGTATCGAATAATTAAGCTTATCGAGTACATTATAGTATCCAAGGAATTAATAATATATATGTGTGTGTTCAATTATTTGTGTTATCTTATAATTAATTAGTGATTAATTAATTAATTAATTTATTTATTTATTTATTTTCAAGAGTACCTCTGCCATTTTCATGAATTCCCATCCGCCAAATATATTTCACAATTCATGGAAGAATCAGTAATATATATTAATCATTAAATATATTTTAAATAATTAAGATATATATATATATATATTTATCATATTATTACATTGTATAATTCAATTTAATAAATTATTCAATTAAATATTTATTAATATTAAAGATATTTAAAAAAAATAAAAAGTAGAAAATATTCTGAATTTATGATATTATGGAGTAATATTGAAGATTGATATATATATATATATATATATATATAATACATAATAAACAATAAATTTTTATTATCTCTTTTAATTTTTTTTTTTCAGTTTATTATATATTATAGATATATTAATAATACATAAATTAATATATACATATATATAGGGGCCCAAAATCCCACATCAAATCCTGACTAGTTGATATTATCTTTAAATTATGTTTTTTTTTTTTAAAAAAAAATATAAATTCTTATAATCACATTAAAAAAAATATAAATATAAATATATTTTATTTTACTAATTACATTCAAATTAATTATATCTTTAGAGATTTTTTTTTTAAATTATAACATTGTGTAAATAAATATTTCAAAATAATATATTTAAATAATTTTAAATTTTAAACATCAAAGGAAAATATTGAATTTTATCTTAATAAATTATAATATTTTTTATTTTTTAAAAATATTTTATAATGATTAAATTCACTTTAATTTATTTAAAAAATAAAAAAATTAATTTTTTTTAAAAAAGAAATTAATTCTTGACAGTACAACCATCAAACAAGAAGTACTGCCAATTCAGAAATCTTCTTGACTGCTAATGTCAAATATATCTATACATACACATGTACATATATATATATATATATTTATATATTCTCTTGAAAAATCAAAATAATGACAACTTTGGGAAGGCGTGTTCCATGTCTATCCCGCAAACCGTTGGCCATATTCCATTTGATTCGTTATCAGACTTGAGCATTTATATGCAGATTAGTAATCGGTAGAAGCAATTCTCGTGAGCAGGCGAGAGGCGGCAATGGCGGAAATAACGGAGAGTAAAGAGAGGAAGTGGGCGATCAACGGAGGAGCATTCGTGGAGGAAGTGAAGAAGGCAGGTAAATTCGCAGCTCCCATGGTAGCTGTTACACTTATGCAATACCTTTTACAGGTTGTTTCCGTCATCATGGCCGGTCACCTTGGCGAGCTTGCTCTCTCAACTGTCGCCATTGCCACTTCTCTCACCAATGTCACCGGCTTCAGTCTTCTTGTATGTCTTCTACTCTTCATCTCTGTTTTTGTCCTGAATCTATCAATCATAAATTTGAATTTGTCACATCTACATTGACACGATACTGACGGAATCGATACCAAACGTCGCTGAAACTGAAGAAATCTGGATAGAAATTGAACTGAAACTATAAACCAGTTTATGGCAGAGTCCGGAAGTAAAATTGATTAGGTTTAACTACGAGCGTCTTTCTTCTTTACAGAAATTGCCAACGTCTTAAGATTCAATAGAAGACGCGAATTCCTTGAACCTGTAGGTCATGAAATGACACGGACCCTTTCAACTCTGTTTTTATCTCCCACCCGGTGATTTTATTCAAGCTGCGTCTCTAGAGAATTGAATCCAGACCTCTCCACTTGCTTCTGTTTTTTATTCTTGTTTACCACTAATCTGCATCTCTACAAAATTGATCACGACTTTTCCACTTGCTTCTGTTTTTTATTGTTTTCCCTCTGCTGTCTCAAAAATATTTTATAATTTTTATTTAGTTGCAAAGAGACTGATTTTTTGTCACTTTTGTATTGATCAAATGACCTGAATCACGCCGTGTTGCGGTTTTAATTCTTTCTTTTTCTTCTTTACCAAACAGTCTGGTATTGTGGGTGGCTTGGAGACTCTATGTGGGCAAGCTTATGGAGCACAACAGTATCAAAAGCTTGGTGTTTATACGTACAGTGCTATTATCTCGCTCACCCTTGTTTGTCTTCCAGTTTGTCTACTATGGATTTTCATGGATAAACTACTACTTCTATTCGGCCAAGATCCTACAGTCTCCCATGAAGCACGTAATTACTCCATGTGGCTTATCCCTGCACTATTTGGTGGTGCTGTCCTTAAACCATTGACCCGTTATTTTCAGACTCAGAGTCTGATTCTTCCATTGTTTTTAAGCTCCTTCTCTGTTCTGTGCTTCCATATACCCGTTTGTTGGTTTTTAGTCTATAAAATGGGATTAGGAGCTACCGGCACAGCTCTGACCTTCAGTTTATCAACTTGGTTGAACGTCATATTGCTTGGATTTTACGCTGCATACTCGTCTGCTTGTGAGAAAACTCGGGCGCCATTGACAGCGGCTGCTTTTCATGGGATTGGATTGTTTTTCCGCCTAGGGGTACCCTCTGCTGTGATGACATGGTAAACCTTATCTTGTTGTTTTATGTTATGAACTTATGTTTGAGGTGATTCTTTTAGATGGTTGAACTAATATGCTGATTATTTCAGTCTCAAATGGTGGTCAATGGAGTTGCTAGTTCTGCTATCAGGCATTTTGCCAAATCCAAAACTGGAAACTTCAGTGCTTTCTATATGGTATACATGCATTCATTTGAGAAATTCCATTAACTTGATGCTTCTTTATTCAAAATTCTAACCCTTCTCATAATTCTGTAATCAGTCTCACAATCTCTACCCTGCACTTCAACATACCATACGCATTTGGAGCTGCTGTGAGGTCTTCTTCAAACCCATTTTTCTGTGCATATACTTAACATATGCACGATAATATTAATGTTAATATGTTTATAATATAGACTGAAAAAAGGGCATTAATTTAATTTTATAGCACAAGGGTTTCAAATGAATTGGGAGCTGGGAATCCTGAATCTGCCAGAGTTGCTGTAATGGCTGTAATGTTTCTTGCCGCAATTGAGGCAGCTGTCGTAAGTACTGTTCTCTTCAGCTGCCGTCATATTCTGGGATATGCTTACAGCAATGTGCAGCAAGTTGTTCATTATGTTGGAGTAATGATGCCTTTGATTTGCCTCTCAGTTATTATGGACAGTTTACAGGCAGTACTTTCTGGTCAGTTCCTTTCCTTTCAATGGATTTTTTACTCAATGTTCTTGCCATTCTTTTCCTTATAAATCCTTATTCAGTACTCTTTACTATATCAAGAATAAGCTATTGCGCAAAATAAGATCCGTAACCGTTTATGTTCATACTGCCTTACTCGGTAAAGCTAACCCATGATGCTTCTTGATTATGTGACTCCTTCCAATATTGCCAATTCAGCCATAAACAAATCCTTCCCAATACTTCCAATTGTGCACAAAAACAACTGATGTTTACATATACAATCTCAGTTATCATTACTTGTCAGATTTAGCCATAAACATATAATCTAAGAGCAATAGAAGGAAAAAAGCAAAACAGTAAAATGATTAGAGAACTGAGAGTTGTGAGTTTTGTTTGGATGAGCAGGAGTTGCTAGAGGCTGTGGATGGCAACGAACGGGCGCATACATCAACCTTGGTGCATTTTACTTCGTTGGGCTTCCGGTCGGTGTTGTGCTGGGATTTGTTGCACATTTAAGAGGAAAAGGTCTCTGGATTGGTATAGTTGCTGGCTCCATTGTGCAGTCTACCCTTCTTGCTCTTGTCACTACCTTCACTAACTGGGCAAAACAGGTTCCAATTACTTCAAGTCTTTTATTTGCTCCCACTTATATATAATACATATACATATACACACACACACACATATAGAATATAAGTTGTCAGCCAGCTTAACTGAATGATAATTTTAATAATGCCATAATAGGCAGCTAAGGCGAAGGAAAGAATATTTGAAGAGGCCAGAAGAGGGGACGAGTAAATTGGAGAACATTGTTGGGTAACCCATTTTGATCAATATATATTGAAAACTATGTATATATAATGTAATGGGGGATAAGCACCCCTCTCTATTCATGGAAGAGGAAGATATCCTGAGTAAAGTGTCATTCTAGTATGTAATTTAACTATTGGAGATAGATAAATGCATGTAAATATATATTTATAGCATACTCTTAGTTCATGTTTGAATAAATTTTAGTAATAGATAATTAATGTATAATAATGACAGTGATTGAATAATAATGATAGTATATATGAATTACAATATTTTTTTTTATATTTAAATAATTATATATTAATATATGTTAATGACAGATATTTTATTTAGATAATAAAATGATATAATTGTATTTTTAATTAAATTATTAATTAAACTATATTTTATTGTATGTAATAATAAATAATATATAAGATTTATGTAATAAAAAAATAAATTATTTAAAAATATAATTAAATAAATAATTATTATATATAATTAAATTAAATTTTTATATTTAATAAAATAAATAATTATTATTTATATATTAAAAATAAATGATTGTAATTATATATTATTATATTAAATTTAAAATTATTTTAATAAATAAAAAATTAAAACGTATATAAAATAATTGAATTAATTTATTAAATATATTTTATGAGAGTGTTTGTTTATGAATGTATTACAGAAATTAAGTATATTTTACGACGATATAACAGAAAGAAAATTATCTGTCTATCACATAATACATATTCGGTAATTTTAAAAATTTATATTAAATTTATCAGTCGGTCGTCGTTTGCTATCATTTCATCCGTTCATAAATTAAAATAAATAAAATTTTATCACGATCGTAGAATACCTTACATTAATTAAGTATTATTTACCACCAAAGGAAGAAACAGGGCCACATTCGAATTGATATCTTTGAACAGCTTTTTTTCTTGATTATACAAGAAAAGTAAAAAGATTTCGACAAGTGGGTATGGTGAGAGATGAAGTAAAAAAGATTTATTTAAACATTACATAAGCTGTGTTTGGAACACGTAAATGGAGTAGATGATATCAATTCCCATACATCGGATCACAGTATCCGTTTCTCCTTTCTTCTCTGCTTCCAAGTTCCTCCGCTCTTCGTATTTCTTCTCTCTGGTATCCTATCCTACGCACGACCCATGAAATTTCCTCTCTGCGTGTAGTGAAATTGTCATATACAGCTTCAAATTAGCAACCCACACGACCGTCGTGAAACTCAAAACCGTCATCATCATTTATCACGATCTGATAACGCCCGGTGATTAGAAAATAAATACGAAATGTCAAAATCTGTAGACACCGATACGGTGAGGAAGCAACCAGTCGATCGGTACCTGAAGCGTCAGGTTCTCGGAGAGGGTACGTACGGCGTGGTTTACAAGGCCATCGACACGTTGGTGAGCAGCTTCTTTAACCAGCCGGCGAGTTTTTTATGATTGAATTGATTTGTAATTGTTCAAAACCCAGTTTTTATTATGATTAGTGTTAGTGACAGACGGGGCAAACGGTGGCGATTAAGAAAATCCGGTTAGGGAACCAGAAGGAGGGGCTTAATTTTACTGCGCTTAGAGAGATAAAGCTGCTTAAGGAGCTTAAGCACCCTAACATTATCGAGCTGATCGATGCGTTTCCGGACAAGGGGAATCTTCACCTTGTGTTTGAATACATGCAAACGGATTTGGAAGCGGTTATTCGTGATCGGAACATTTTCCTTTCTCCTGCGGATATCAAATCTTACATGCTCATGACTTTGAGAGGATTGGCGTTTTGTCACAAGAAATGGGTGTTACATAGGTACGAATTTGAGTTTCTTTTTTTTTCTGGGTTGATTCAAAGGTTGATCTTTACTTTCTCTTTCCCTTAATCTGGTGTTTTGGTGGTGAATTAGGGATATGAAGCCGAATAATTTACTGATAGGAGATAAGGGTCAGTTAAAATTAGCGGATTTCGGTTTGGCACGGATATTTGGCAGTCCAGATCGAAGATTTACTCACCAGGTATTATGTGATGTGGAGATGATTTGTTAAATTGGTGATTTATTTATGTTTAGAAATTTGGCCATGTTGGATTTTAGAAGTACTGATAATTATTCTGAGGTACTTATAAATTTGTTAATAGATAGGAGAATGGGGCCTGTGAATCCTTGTCCTAACATCTCAGTTCATAGAGCTATTGTTTTATGATGATGAAACACTGCCCTTTATCTACTGATATTTAGGCTGCATTTTATTCCAGACTGCTAATTTCATGGAATAAATTCAGATTACAGTAGAAAAGAGATATTTATTTTGAATGGAGAATTTTAAATATAAACAGAGAACCAGGTGGTGCCACCCATTTAGTGAAAAATGATATTCTAGTTTGTTTTGATTTAAGGTAGGTGGATCTTTTATTCCTGGCATGCCAAATAGGTAGGAGTGGAATTGGTTTGATTGTGAAGCAAAGATGAAATTTAGGTTCCAGTTCTATATGTTAAGAATACTTCAGTAACTAGGTAAAGCTTCCTACTCTGTCAAACTAGCAGCGACCTGAAATTGTCAGAGGATCCTGGTTTATAGATTCCTGATTACCACTGAAGAAAATAGAGGAAAAACTAGAAGATTTATAGAAGATGAAAAGAAGACTAGATGCAAATAGGGAGAGGATTTGCAGGGCGAGAACTTGAGGAATTTATATATGCTCACTGATTGCAACTAATCAATTGCTAGGATGTAGGGATTAGTTAGTAAGCTACATTATATGAGGAAGATATCTAGTTAATAAAAAACTGAAGGAAAAATTGCATGGAAATGGCTGAAGTCTGAATTTGCCAACTTGCTACCTATTTCAGCATCAATCTGACTCAACATGTGTACCTCAGCACCGGGTTCCTGACATTGGTTATCATTTCGACACATCCAAACAGACTACTAATATGAAACTTGAATGCTTTTGTTGCTCCAGAGATTATTGGCATAATTGTATTAAACACACAATTTGTGTCTAATAAGAGAATCAGCTTAGAAGTTAGATGTTTTCTACAGAATTCCTCGAGTTTTCTACTGCTGTTTAGCCCATGGCAGGGTCATACAGTACTAAAGAAGACTAGAATAGTACAAGTCATCTTTTTAGATGACACTTTTTTCTCAACATGCATAACTTGTGAAACTAAAAAGACGGTTTAATATTTGCAAACAGGTCTTTGCTCGATGGTACAGAGCACCAGAATTGTTATTTGGTAGCAGACAATATGGTCCTGGGGTGGATGTCTGGGCTGCGGCTTGCATATTTGCTGAACTTCTCCTGCGTAGACCTTTTCTACCGGTATATCCCAGGGCATGATATTGGTTTTGTATTTTCTGATCATCTAAGGTTCTTTTCTTGTTTAGAATTCTCTTCCTATTTGTTTTACTTATTATCTACGGTAAAAATCTGTCAGGTTCAAAATATTTTGTCGGAATTTCTGATTAATATGTGGGTAAATTTGGATTATGAAGACAAACTGCCTGCGAGAATTCCTGCTCTCTGTATCATGGCTATTCGCCAGTTTAATTTAACAAATTAAAGTCCTATCTATTTAGTTTCTAATTGAAACTAACATATGCATTTCACGCAAGCAAAAATTGTCTTTTTGTTACAATTAGTTTTCAGAAAATGTTAGAAAATGACAAATTTGAAAATTTTATAATAGTTCAAGGACATATTTGTAATGATAAAAGGATTTTGGACTAATTTGTGATAGGATCATAATTGTGGGAGTAAAATGATAATTATGCAGAAACATAGTCGCTGTAGAAACTATAAAAAAGGTGAGCAACTGGCAGAAACCTCTGTCGTAGGTACTATAAAAACTTGTTCAGGGATTTTTGCATGGTAACCAACAGCTTGATATTTAGAAAAAAAGTCTCTTCATGACCTATTGCTAAATATTTGAACAAGTGCTAGGAATTCAGCTGGTGAACTAACTGGCAGAAACCTCCATTATAGGTACGATAAAAACTTGTTCTGGTTTTTGCATGACAACCTACAGCTAGATATTTAGCAAAAATGTCTTCGTGACCTATTGCTAGATGCTTGAACAAGTGATAGGAATCAACTTTGAGTGTATGTCTACCTCATTGCTCTTAACTCTATTTTTACGTTGTTGCACAAAAACATTTTACCAAGGCAATAACAGTAAGTATTGTTTGTAGGAAAGAAAGATAAGGAAAATACTCTGATAATTCTCATTGATTTCAGTAGAATTTGCAGGACAATATGAATATCATTACCCTATGGGTGGGGTAGTTGTAATTTTCTTTTCACAGCTATAATACAGCTCTGCCCTGTATTACCTAGTACACTCATACATAACCGAAAAAGATTTTGCAGAGAACAAACAGGAATAAGAACCCTAACAGAAAACCACCATTCAAATTTATTTTTTCCTTCACGCTACTTGACTTGGTCTTAACATTTCCTTTTGATAATCCTACATATTATATCTTGGTTTTGATTGAGGATAATTTTCCCCACGAAAACTTGAATGTTGGTAGTCATAGATACTGTAATTTGTTTATCTTGTGCCAAAATCAAATCTATGGACCACCTCCCAGTAAATGTAAGTAGAAGTATCTGTTTTGAAATTCTGAAATTCTGAAATTTTGGTCCAATTAGCTTGGATCTTTTTTCGATCCAGTTGATTATAAGCGCCAATTGAAAATATCCGATACATACTTTTAGAACTAGTTGCACTCTTAAAGTGCTTCATTTCTTCTATTTACTCTCCTTTACTCCTATCACTTGTCTGAATTTGGGATATTTAACAATGTTGTCTGTAGTGAGATGTAAAGGAAAATGTTTCCAGGATCAAGAACAACAATCTTTGCGCTGATTGCCAAGTTTTTGCAAATTGATTGCTGAGTAGTTCTGTAGTTCAATAATTTTAGAAGATGTTGTTTAGAATTTCCTCCCTGCTCTTCTATCAGTGTTCTTATTCTTTATCTTGGAATGATTGGTACTACTATATTCAGGTGTACCATGCACTCATGGGCATTATGTACGCCGACGTAGTAGATTATTGTTTTATATTTTGTTGACATATATCTTAACAGGTGATAGAATTTTGAATTAAGTGATCTTTTTAGTATAAAGTATTTCTTTCTCTGTGCGTTTACCATGGATTTACCTGTAACTCTTTCAGCTTTTTGATGCTTAACCTTCATTATTTTGTCAGGGTTCTAGTGATATCGATCAACTGGGAAAGATCTTCCAAGCTCTTGGGACACCTCGACCTTCACAATGGGCAGACATGGTTTATCTTCCTGAATATGTAGAATTTCAATATGTTCCTGCACCTCCTCTACGCTCCTTGTTTCCAATGGCAAGCGATGATGCCTTGGATCTCTTAGCGAAGATGTTTACTTACGATCCAAGAGCGAGGATTTCCATACAACAAGCAATGGAGCACAGGTTTGTATCATTTTTGTTCAATAATGATGATGATGATGATGATTCATATTGGAAGTGTGTAACTGATATAACTTTCTCTGCTCTTCAGATATTTCTCATCTGCACCACCACCAACGGATCCAACCAAACTCCGGATTCCTGCCTCAAAAGGCGATCTTTTAGAATCTAAAGTTTCTGACCTAAATCAACAAGAAAGTCCCACTGTGTTGTCACCCCCTGGAAAATTAAGGAGAGTGATGGGTCCAGAGGCTTTCGACATAAACCGGAACCAGTCTATTGATGATGCTGAAGATTATTAAGCCATTTTCGATAGGCAGTTGCATATGTCGTGTAGTACAATTAACACATAGGGCAGCAATTTGACAATCTGGATCAAATATTTATGTTACTGAATAAAATCTGATTAATTTTTTGGGAAAATGCAATATGCTATATGTTCTTTTACTCCACTTTGGTAAGATTTTGATCTGTGGTAATTGATAAACAACACTTCTAACTGCTTTTGACAACTTTTTCCTGTGAGAACCTCCCTTGGGTATGTGGAATCTTCCTCTGCTTGGTTTTCGTATATGTAGGGTTGGACCGGACCGAATATCGATTAAGGATCGAATATCGATTAAGGATGAGTGTAAGAAATCATTTTTAAGGAACATGGTGACTTCCAAACACCATCCCTCAGAGATTGTTATTTCAGAGTAACATTTCACAATAAGTTACTACAAGACATTCTTGAATTACCTCTGAAACTTTAAAAATTACCTCTGAAACCTGATTATGTCTCTGAGAACCAAGAAAAAGCAGCAGAATTTATGAGGCCAAGAAATAAAGCTTTAATCCTTTTGTCTCCACTCCAGCTTCCAAAACGAAAATTGGAATGAAAAAGACAAAAAAATCAATCATGGTTGACTCTGCTGCGCCGCCCAATGGAAGTTCTCTTGAACCATTTGCTAATTCCTTTCCCATACCCAACTCCATTAATTTAATAAACTGTATGTTTCGTATGTATGTATATATATATATATATTATTGATTATGTAGTTTTTTATTAAAATTAATTGTGTTATTTTTTAAGAAAAATTAATTATGCTAATGATAATGTATAAATTTTAACTACAATAATAATTTTTTATTGGTTATATTTATTTTTGTTCAGTTTGTGTCAAATTAATTTTTATAGTTCAAAAAATTTTGTTTTTACCTCCATACCAAATTATGATTTTATTTGGCCTGTAAATTTTGATCAAGTTTTAGTTTCCTAATTTCAAAAAGCCACCTTACTGCCTCTGCATCTTCAATGAGGGGCCCAACTTGACGTTGAATTCGAACTGTATTTGCATCGATGACCACCTACCAGGATATATCTATTAAAACCCAGAAATAATTAAGCATCACCTGCAGTTTCACCATTTGGGTGCTTTCTTCTTCTTCTTCTTCTTGGTGTAGACATTCACAAGGGAAGAAAAATAGTTGAGGAAGATGGAGAACGAGGCTCCTCTGTTATTACCGGGGAACAGAAGGAAAACGCCGTTGTTACCATGGGTTGCTTTAATGGAGGAGCTGAAAAGGGTGAGTTTCATGTCGGCACCCATGGTGTTGATCTCAGTGTTTCAGTATCTTCTTCAGATTATTTCCGTTGTCATGGCTGGACGACTCGGTGAACTCGCTTTCTCAGGGATCTCTATTGCTAATTCCTTCTCAAACGTTACTGGCTTCTGTATTCTTGTAAGCTTTCTTTTCTTCCCTTTCGTCTTTTTCATCATCTCAAACTTTTTCAGACTCCTCCCCGTTGTTAAAATATAAGCGCTGCAAGAGAAGTGTTCGCCGTGTGTTCGTTTATTTTCCTTCTATTTTTGGTGAAGAACTGATGAGATTTGATAGTACGTTGTGCAAGAAAATGGAATGTGAAATAAAAAAATTCTTGTTATTTTGTTGTGGAATTTGAAAATGGTCAAGAACCCATTAGATTTATGAGTTCTATCATATCAATATGAATTTTTGAAGTGAATGTAACTAAGACAATAAGTTGGAATGTACGCAGTTGGGGATGTCTGGTGCATTGGAGACTCTTTGTGGGCAAGCTTATGGAGCAAGGCAATATCATAAGCTCGGAAATTTCTTCTACTCTGCTGTGATTATTTTCTTTTTCATTGGCATTCTTGTTTCTGTTCTTTGGATATTTTCAGGCAAATTACTGATACTTCTAGGTGAAGAAACCTCAATCTCTTTAGAAGCTTCCAAGTATTGCATTTTTCTTATACCCTCAATATTTAGCTATGCAATATTTCAATCCCTCCTTCGCTACTTTCTATCTCAAAATTTCATTGCTCCGCCGCTCATAACCACATCTGCAGTGCTGTGTTTGTATATACCTTTGTGTTGGATTTTGATATATAAGTTAGAGTTAGGGATTGGTGGAGGAGCATTAGCCTATGGTTTGGCATTTTGGTTGAATCTGGCCTTGCTTGGAACTTACATGAAATTCTCTTCATCATGTGAAAGAAGCCGGAAACTTGTTAAGAAAGATGTTTTGATGAGCATTAAAGATTTTGTTCGTTTAGGAATCCCTTCTGCTCTAATGTCAAGGTAGTATCTCCATTTTCCTTTAATGGAGTAACAATGTCAGTTCTTTTTTTTTACTCTGTTTCTTTTGAAGATTAATCTTTCTTTCTCTTTGTATCGTATGCCATAATTTAGTTTAGAATGGTGGTCGCCCGATCTGCTTGTTCTACTATCTGGGCATTTACCAAATCCAGAACTTGAAACCTCAGCTCTTTCTATATGGTACACTACTTCACAATCAGCTTCTTTTTCTTTCTTGAAACTTAATGTTTTCTTCTAATTCCTTCTAAACTGTTTGTATCAGTGTGACAACAATTTCGCTGCACTATCTTGTATCAACTGCATTTGGGTTTGCTGCAAGGTTAACTCGTAAAGCCTGAGTGCTTCTTCTCTTTCATGTGTCTTCTTATGCATAATACGTTGTTTTATCTTCGTATCTAACAAAGTAAAACTTAGTAGCTCCGTTTTTTTTTTTGGTTCTATTAGCATTCGAGTTTCAAATGAACTGGGAGCCGGGAATGAACGGGCAGCTCAAGTAGCTGTTGGTGCTATAATGACTCTTGCTGTTACAGAGTCAGTTATTGTGAGCATTGTTCTCTTCTTTTTCCGCCATAACTTGGGATATGCTTACACAAACAATGCGGAAGTTGTGAATCTTGTCGCGGAGTTATGTCCCATAACTTGTTTATGCATCGCTGTTCAGGGAATTCTTGTTATACTCTCTGGTAATCTTCTGTTATTGGATCAATTTTCCTTTCTCTATTCTCTCTCTTTTCATTTTATCTTGGTGTGGAATGAGAATTTAGAGTAACATCTTTCTGAACTTAATCAATAAAACAAACTATAGAAGAATCATCTTCCTGACTTCCAAATCTATGGATCAAAGATTTTGAGCTGCATATATATATTGCTGTTTTCTACTCGCTTAAATAACTGTTTCAGTGCTATAAAATCCCCTGCAATACACAAAAATAGACAAAAATGGTAGATTTCTTATTTCAATTATATGAAATTTGCTAGAGTATTGAAAATATTGCTGGTAAGAGACTCAAGTTTGGGTTCATATTCGTTCAAGAATCTTCCTTTCCCACCTTGTTCATATTCAATTTCAATGTTGTTCATTTCTTTTTCGTTTTGCCTTTTGCATCATTGTATTAGGGGTTACTAGAGGTTGCGGATTGCAGCATTTAGGTGCTTATATAAACTTCGGAGCATATTACCTGGTTGGAATTCCATTGGCTGGTTTACTAGGCTTCGTTCTTCATTTTGGAGTAAAAGGCCTTCTGATTGGATTGTTTGCCGGAGCTGCAGTAGAATCCTTTTTGCTTGCTCTCGTTACCGCGCTCACAAATTGGCACGAACAGGTTCTGATCATCTACATTTCCCCTTCACATGCTTGTCTTAACTTTCTTCAAAAAGAAAATCTTTGCTGCACCGAGATTCATACTGCTTTTAAGATTGAATTCCTTAAAAATAAAATTCGATATAAAAAATTACAGTTCTGATCATCTTATTCATACGATCGTGTCAAGATCATTTCTAGTAAAATTTTTTATTGGTATCTCAGAAATTTTACTGCTAAAAAGTAGAAGAGAAGTTGTTTAACTGTTCGGACGAGAAAGATTGGCACTTTCGGGTTGAACTCACAGTTCGATTAACATAAACTAAACTTTCGATTTTTGTGGAATTTTCAGGCAAGGAAAGCACAGGAGAGGGCATTGGAAGGGACATTGTTGTGAATTTGAAGGAGCAAAATGAGTATTTTCGCTCTTTGGAGTTTTCGGGTTTGTCTCGAATTTCACTCTCTCCTTAAGTTATAACACACACAACATTAAATTATAAATAATAAATTTTGAATAATTAAGGTTACAATCTTTGTAATTAATTATTTTTAAATATTAATATTCAGTAATTACAAAGGTTATATTCACTTATATTTATCATATGGGTAAAAAAATAAAATTAAAATATTTTTAAAAAGTATATAAATTCTGATTGATTAAATATTAAATCATCAAATATAATTCAATAAAAATTTAAAATAATTAATACATAAAAATAAAATACTAAAGTCAACGGGTGGTAAATTTAATTCAGCACGTGATTCACACTGCAAAAAATATTAATTTACCAAAGTTTATTGTAATACTCTAATGTAGTAACAGCTGTTTGTCACTAGTCAGAAGCAATTAAGAACAACATAAATTATATATATATATATATATTTATATGTAGATACGGTGTCGTACCAATTACGCCACCAAATTCACGTGTGTGTATAAATATAATTTTATAATATAAACAATTGTTTGTGAGCCACCAAACACGATCTCATCAATGGTGAACTGTACTATAATGTACGTGTGTATATATATATATATATATAATGAAATTAGGTTTATTAATTTTATATGTTAAGAATACCATTTTAAAATAAAGTGTGAATCATAGTTTTAAATTTTAAATTTATAAATTGTGTTATACGAAATGTACAATTATATATCCCAATATTTGTCTTGTATAAATTATACTTTATTGTAGTATAGAAACTCATCTAATACCATAGTTTAAAAATATCAAAGGTTGTATTGGGTATTACTATATTTAGTGTGTATGTATAGCTAACACAATTCATTTATTCAAGTCTAGTTCGGATTGAAGGCTCAAAAAGAAAAACAATATATCACATATATATATATATACATATATGGATATCAAATATAAATATGTGTATTTGTATTAGTTATGTATATTTATAATTAAATATACATATCGAATTAATCAAAACATATGCTTCTTTTTGTCAAATATTGAGGGAAATATAATTAGTTGGATTCAATCTATACATATGCTCCTACTTTCGTCTCTAAACCAATATGATATGCTATGTTTTAAACGAGTTTTACGTTAAATATATATATAAACATAAAGTAAGTAGATTAGTGGTATTTTAATTTGAAGATTATATAACTATAAATTCTTAGTAGAGTAGTAAAATACTTTCAGATTAGGTTATTAATTGGAATTATCGTACAAATTAGTTCTATTTGCTTTAATCGGGATACTGAGTTTTTAAGTTGCTGTAATTATTTTAATTAAAAGAATCTAAGAATTATATAATATCCATTTTACTTGCACACTTTATAACTAGTTAAGAGAAATCGAACTCGAACGCTACAACTTTACTAAGAAACAATTACTAGTAATTCATAACATACTTGTAAAGTAACATAATTTTACGTTTTTAATAAGATTTGAATTTGTAATTTTGAATATAACACAAAAATTATAATCACTGTATTACCATGTTCGGTGTTAGGAGACTCGCAAATTACCTTCAACACGAGGTTGAGTGTAATATAATACATACATAGCTATGGAATTTAAAGGTGATTTGACTCGGCTAATAAAAGAAATGTTATTTAACATTTAGGTACCCATATACATGTTTTGATGTTTGTATATATGTATATATATATATATATAGATATATAAATTTAATGATTGTGATAATTTTGTTAACCTATACGGTATATTTCAAACAGAATTTGATTCTCACCTTGGAAACTTGTTCTCACTTTTAAAAGTTGCATGAAAACACATTACAAGAATAAGTTCTACAGGGAATATCACTTTTGATCAACTTTAACGAGTAATTATTTAAAATAGTATAAGAGATAGATATATTATGTTAAGATTTTTTTTTCCCTTATTATTATTTGTTTTTATCAGTTCTATGATCTTCATTTGCTTCTGCCAAATTACCAGTGTATAATCATCTCGTAAACAACACATAGATTATAAGAAACTGCTTGAATTCGCTGCCGGGAGGCTTATACCATGAGGCAAACTGATGAAAGTCCTCTCATCAACTTTATTCTCGATTGGTACAGTATATAGCATCACATATATAATAGCAAGCACATGCTGGAGAAGTACATATATATATATATATATATATATATATAGGCATAAGTCTATATCAGATATCATCTAAATTAGTCTGATCCCTGGAGCCGGAAAAAGACATAACATCTCCTCCTCCTCAATCGCCATAATATCGTCAAGTGGATCAAAGCTGGAATCAAGAAGCTCTCACGTTTGTTACCCGACCAAATAATTACATATATAAGCAAGCATGAAGACTAATAAATACATGCACACGTAAATTAATTATATATATATATATATGTATGTATGTTACCTGTCAAGGCCACCAAAGAAAGGAGGGGGAGGGCCACACGAAAACCAATTTGGTGGAGGAAGAAATGGTCCTGGAGGTGGGAAAAAGGTTTGGATTAGTGGTGGTGGCGGTGGTAATTCTTGAGGCTGGGGGTGGTGATTTGGTCGGGCCTGTCCACGTGGACGGTGGTGATGAGACTTTGATTGGCGGCGGCGAGGGGGTGGTGTAGGAGACGATTGGCCAGGGAATTTCATGGTTAGTGAGAATATATGTATATGTATAGTTGGTGAAGTTGTGTTAACAGCGGGTTATAAAACATGTATATATAGAATTGAAGATTGCATAGTTCTTTTTTTGAAGGAGTTACTGTTGGGAAAGATGAGGTATCCAAATATTTTAGCTGAGAAGAATTCAACAATTAAATGCTTGGCAAAGAAGATTCATTTCTTATTGCATTGAAGAAATATTTTCGTAGGCTGTAATACTTTCACGTACTATTATAATTAGGAAATATTTATACAATAATAATAACATAATTAAAAGATGTTGATCGATAGTGGAGAGTCTTTAAAGATGTTGATCGATGGTGGAGAGTCTTTCTAGCAAAAAAAGTATCTTAAGGTTATTGTCAATCCATTTGCACGTATTTGAATAACGGGCACCGCTGAATTTTTATCCCGTTGTATGTAATGTTCGGTCATCAATAGAAAGTTGTGTAAATAAGTAAATAAATTAAAAAATTTTAATTTTATGATAAAATAAATTAAATTAGAACTTAGAGTTTAAATGAAAGAATTTTAGAAATTAGGAATTTTATTAAATTTAAAAGACTTAAGTGAAGACGTGTGAAAAAAAGGGGGTCAGACGCATAATTAAATAAAAGTGGAAGGGGGCAAATAGAAATAAGAAAATGGATAGTCAAGATTGCACCGTCTGAGAGATCAATCGGCTTGAAATTACATCCGGTTGAACAGTCTAGATTTAATCTTACAATATCGGATTGTTATGACAACTAATATTTAAAGGAACAAATTAGGTTTTTTTTTTTTTTCATTCAGCAAAATGAGAGCCGAAAATGAGAGATGAAGAGAGCTGAGTCGAACGGGTGAGAGAGGAGGCCGAGCTGAGTGAGGATCGGGCTGAGAGGGAGAAGAGAACACCGCACGAGAGAGATAAGAGAAAGCAAAACCAGAAAGAGAGAAGGAAACGCATTCGAAGAGGAAGGAGGAGGTGTCACAGAGGCGAAAGGCCAAAGGAAGGAAAGGAAAAGGGAATCGCGACCGTGAAATGCTGCATTGCTGGTGGATTTCGAAGCCGTGTTGCATGCGATGCCAGTGTTTAGAAAACATGTGAGTTTCGTCCCTTTCCATTTCTCTGAGATTTTCTTTTCGTGTTTCACTCTAACGAGCATAGAGGTGTGAAGCCAAATCACTTAACCATTGTGACAAGTGAGGAGTTCTATTGGGAAACTGAAGAAATCATTCTTCGGAAGCTAGGAATTGAACCCAAGGCCATTTTGGGTTTTCTAGCCACCGAGCCCACCACCGGGGAGCCGACCGCCGCCACCCACCATCGCACTAATACCTTTTCTGACCGCCAAAAAAAGGTAAAAATTTCTCATTTTGTACGAAATTCAATTCTAAACCCACTCATGGCCAAATCGGAATGAAAGAACCTGTCAATTAGCCGGAACATACCGTCGAAGCCCAGCGATGCTGCCGCGAGGAATTTCACAAACCACCTCTAATGAGACCCTTCTCGATTTCTGTTTCGTATATTTTTTTCACCTTGTGATCACCATTTTCCTCTTTACAGGTTGACCAAAACAAAACACCCAACCGCAACGTGAATCGGAGGATTTGTCGCACCGGAGAGTCCCGCCGCTGGTGAATTTCAGTTTTTTATGTTATTTCGGCCCACCAAGGCCCTTTAGCGTGTATGCTCGCAGGAATTGATATAAAAGCGGTCGAAAATGTTCAACTCGTGGCGGACCGCCGACGCTCGCGGCGGCACCATCGCCGGAGGACGGCAGAGCCGCCATGCTGGATTTTTGAAATTGGCCGAGTAGGCCCTGAGACTAATTTTTGAGTTTATTTACGATATTTGTAGGTACCGTAAACGCATTTCAGTTCCCGAAGAAAAATTTAAAGAACTCAAGGACCGCCGGTAGGCGCAGTAAACTATTTAACTTTTCGGTGTCAAATCAAGTAAGAATTTTTCACCCTATTTCATATCATAGAATTGAAATCTAAATAAATAATAATATGATATTTTGTGCGATTTTAGTAAATGTACATAATTATTTACTGACTGCTAATGAAGCTCGAACTGAAAATTATTCTCTATTGATTTCTGTTGATTTATTTTACAGTTTAAAAGTATGATGGTATCTGCTTTATCTATTTTATGGTTTTAAATACATGTATTGTTGTTTTACTTTACCACTGTTTGATTTTGGGATTTAAAATATGATTGTATTACCGGATGCATGTTCATTTGTTTATGTGATTATATTTGATTTGGTAATGGAGACTAAGGAAAAATAAGAAATGGGTGTAATCAAATAAACAGATAAGACAACAACCTCGCTAGATATCCTGGGAGATGATAGACGGACCAGATTCATAAGGAACCCTACCCGTGAACGTTGTCTCATACTGGACGGGGTATGGAGACTTGGCCATTTGGCGCTCATACCATAGAGATATGAGGACGACCCGCTTCACACTCATATCAGATGGGGTATTGAGATTTAATGTCTTGGTGCTCATACCGGACGGAATATAAGGATGACTCTATAATTAAGATTATTAAGGAAAATAGTTCAAGTGTAGCAAAGATATCTTTATGCATCCCCATAGATATTAGTAGGTTGGTGAAACGAAAAACAGTTATGATTTAGTTTATTGTTAATGAATGTAAATTTATGATATGTTCCATGTTGCTGATCGTGCATGAAGTTATGATCTGTGCGATATTATTACTTCTATAGTTTGTTTTCATAAATTCCACAATGGTAAGTGAATGGTAAATGATTTTATGATTGATAAACGAATTTGCTAAATTTAGTGCTCCATTAGTTGTTTTGATTTTCTACCAACCTTTACTTCTGTGCCGGTGATATAGTGTGATGTTCTTATTGGGTTAGTGTAATTCATCCTTTATTTAACCATTTCAGATCAAGAGAATCTGGTTTCAGAGCCCGATCCGCAAGAAGATTGCGAGAAAATGCTAAATATTTTATATTTTCCTCTACTTTTCTTATTTCTCATGTTTCTTTTAGAAAATTTATTCCGTAATGTTTGTTTGATACTTTTAAATTATTGTGTAAGAGATGTAAATCTTAATCTCTTATTTCGCTTCCGTACTTAAATTATTATATATTTCATTTTGAATTTTCGGGAGCGCTACAATGAAAAAGATTCATTAATCCTGATGCTTGACTCCACTGGCTATTTACTTGAGTTGGTAATAAACTAATGATCTCCCAAAATTCAAGCTCCCTGTTTTTGGTGTGTTTGCTTTTATGGTGGTGTTCATGTATAAGCTTATAATTATAATTAACCCCCCTAATTAATTAATTAATTAATAAGAGATTTTTTAGATAAATTCCCCCATCAAAATCAGAATTTGATTCTCTCCTTGGAACTTTTAAAAGTTGCATGAAGACACGTTACAAGAATCAGTTCTACGGGGAATATCACTTTTAATCGCCTTTAAGTTGTAGATAATATATTATATTGTTATTTTAGATTTTAGAATAATTAATCTAATTAATTATTTAAATTAGTATAAGAAATAGATATAATCATCTCATCAAGAACACCACAAAGCGTGTATGGCAAGAAACTGCTTGAACTGGAGACCATGAAGCTTATACCGTGAGGCAAATTAATTAAGTCCTCTCATCAACTTTATTCTCGATTTGTTACAGCATATAGTATCACATATATAATAGTAAGCACATGATGGAGAAATTTGTGTATTTGCGTGTGTATCAGATATCATCCAATCTAGGGCTTGCTACCTGGAGCTGGAAAAATACATAAAATCTCCTCCTCCTGAATCTGGATAATCGTTTCGTCAACCGGGCGAAACCTGGAATCGAGAAGCTTTAACGCTTGTTACCCAACTAGATAATTACATATGTAAGCAAGCATGAAGACTAATAAATACATGCATACGTAAATTATATATATATATATATGCGTTACCTCTCACGGCGACCATAGCCAGGAGGGGAAGAGTGATGACAAAGCCAAACGGGTGG